GGATGTTGGTTTGTAATAGTAGTATCCATTTGGGTCTCTCATACCAAATGCGCACATATCTAATGTTCCATAGGTTACGGTATGCTTCATGAGAAGGCGCTGAAAGTGTTTGGTAAACCAAATCTTGGAAGTCGCAGGATTTTCAATGATGAAACATCTGCCATGTTCAATCTGATAAAGAGCGACTCTTGCACAAAATTCTACCATGGGAAGATACTTTTTCCTTTTTTGATAAGTATCAGCAGGATCATTAATATTCTGCATTTGACTCCATGGTCCACAAACAGGTGCCATGTGGATGATTTTTGGCTGTTGTCGCTCAATGACTTCCATTGCCTTTCGCCGGCCTTCGGCAGTGAGCAAGTCGTAACCTGTGCGGAGGTCTATTGGAGCGCCGACTCGAAGTCCTTGCATTGCTGCCGCTTGACTAAGCTTGGCGGAGCCGCTAAACAGCTCAAGGAAATCTAATTTTCCGGTCATAGCTGGCTCCCATGTATAACAACCATATGTAATACCTTCAGGACCTGTCTGAATGGCATCGTGTTCTATGATGTTATTTGCATGGTCATCAGAGCGGCATGTGGACTTCACTGCTGTACAGGCGCCCTTGGCCGAAGATTCGGCACCGGCGGCAGCTTTGGCCGAAAAGTCGGCACTGGCAAGTGCAATTGGTTCTAAAGGAATGTCAATATCCTCAATAGGATTATGGTCTTTTCTGATTTTACTGATGTTGACCTTCACGATTCTGGTTCCTAAATCAACTCCAACCATACTGCCATCTACGGAAACCAACTTTCCTTTTATCCATTTTCCTCCATGTGAACCGTCTGATTTGATTTTTGATTTGTCTTCGGTCCAATAGTAAACTTTATCTCCAGGAAAGAATGGTCCATCACTAAGTTGAAGTTTACTCGCAATATCTCTTCGAAGGTCATCTGATTGTTTTGCCTCTAGAAACTTTCGCATCGCCAGTGACCTTAGTGCTTCAATCTGTCTCTCAGGAGCAGGGGCCTCAGTCGTGAGCTGAGCTGGATTCATGAGCTCAATCACCGTAAGATCGGCAGGTCTTCTGCCAAATGCTAATTCAATAGGAGTGACACCACCGAGTGTTACCATGGTGTTCCTTGAAATGCAGGCTTGTCTCAACAACTGTTTATAAGTAATGTTGGCAAGCAATGGATCATCTTTCAAGGAAATTAGCATTAATGAGACCTGTTTCTTAAACATGCGAATGGCTGCCTCAGCTCTATTTGGCCATGGTGTTCCTGGTCCTAGAGAGATTGGCCTGATGCTGTGCCGGTTGTAGTAACTCTCCATCTCTATGCCCATGAAAGCTTGATCGGCAACAATGTATTTTGGATTCAGCTGATAAGTTTCAAAGTATTCTTGAAGATGGGAAATCGTCACCGGATCAGATCTGTTTTGGACTACAAAAGCAGTAGTCAAAGAGGTTGCACCATCATACATAAGTAGGAATTGAAGTTTTGACTGTTGATTGATCGGAACTTCTCCATGATCAATGAAGGTAAGTTCACCAAAGACTTCACTTCGGATTCCTGAAACCTTAGCTCTCGATGGTGCAATCCTGGCAGTGGAACATGTGTCACATGATTTTGTAATCTGATCAAATTTGTCATGGATTTCTTTTGGTAACTTCAGAGCCGATGTTCTTCTCTTGAATTGTTCAGTGGTCATGTGATAATGCTTCAAATGCAACTTGAGGAGTTCAGTGGGTGATTGAAGCTTATCATGAATTCTCTGAAGTGCTAGTGACAAAGTTCCCTTAGGTGACGGTTCCTTTTTCTCTCCAAGTTTTACTTCAACCTTAGGTTCCGGTTTGACTTCAGTTTCTCCTTCAATCTGAGGTTCCCGACGTCTTGGGATACCGTCCTTCGAACCGGAACTTGGCCCAGAGGCCACCATTGGCTCTTCATCGGGATCAAAAGGTTGAGCTGGTACTTCTAACTTACTATCAGGCTGAATTGTTTTCTTGACAATCTTCTTGGAATCAGGCTTGGCCGATTTCGGCACCTCTTCAGGCTTAGGCTCTGATCCCTTGAATCTCTTGCAACCTTCTTTGTTGGTGTGTGGTCGATGTTTACCATTGCATGCTGGGCATGTGATGTCTTCGGACTGAAAGCTGTACATCGGTTTCCAACTGGAAGTAGCAAGAGCCATAATGTCAAGGACTGGATGGTTGGATGTACTGACCGCCAACGCGGTGCGTTGCATTCCAAACAGTGGACAAGTCATGAACTCACCTACAGGAGTGTGCTCAATGTTCATGCGAAGATTCCTCATTTGTTCAACTGAAAAGAGGATAGGAACCTTACCTTTGTCCAGGATGTCAACGCATGTTGTGATCCAACCAGTTTGTGCACGATCATTGCGAAAATGAATCACTAACCTTTCCTTGACTGTAGATTGTTCTCCATTGGCAAATGAAAACTTACTTGAACACGATTGCTTAGAAAACCAAATGTGATCACGCTTGGGATGCTGTTGGCAAGCCTGTACAAGGCGTTCAATGGCAAAGCGGGATCCCATGGCTCGAGTGCAACCTGAGTCAAGGATGACATAAGTCGGATGAGAACCTAAATCTACATATTCACAAAGCAATGCTTGTTGGGCACCATGATCATAATTTAGGAATACACACTCTTCCGTAGAGACGGAATCGAGCGGGCTTGTACGCGGCTGAAACGAATGCAGCTCACCGTTTCCGGTAGAAACACTCTTCTCAACTTGACGAATGCTCTTCAATAGGGACCTGTTCAAATCAGAAAAGCACTGGTACATCACAGACACGAACAGAAGCACGAACGTGAGGGCCTCTACAAGTTCGTGTCCGAACAATCGGAACAAGCGGATGCCTGAAAAACAGAACCGGTTGATCTTGTCGGTCTGTCCGTCCTCGAAATTGACGTCTGAATGCTTGTCCTCGGAGTCGGTCAGTTCCTCAGCGGAAACAAAATACGACCAATTGTACCAATCACCTTGGGAGTAATCTCCGTCATATCCATAGTAGGATTCATAACCTGACCAGTCATCTGTCCAGTATGTGTCATAGTCGTAACTCCAGCTTTCTTCGGCATGGGCTGTTTCTTGTTTTTCAGGGGCATGTGATGCACTGGATGATGCAGCCTGTGCTACATTAGCTTGTGGAGGTTGTGACAAAAATGGATTGGTTCCTCCTTTGTTCTTCGCATCACCTTTTCCTTTTCCTTTCCATGAAGGCATTCCTTTGAAAGAATCCTTTCCTTTCATCATTCCTTTCTTGCCCTTTTTACCTTTTCCTTTGCCCTTGCCTTTTCCCCAGAAAGCCGTGTCTTGCTGGTCATCTTCCCATGCTGCAAAACCTTTGCCTTTTGACCTCGAGCGGAAGCCGGGTCTTGATTTCTTTCCCCCTTTCTTGCCATAACCTTTTGGTCTACCTTTCTTGAAGGACCTGCCGTAGATGCGGCGCTTAGAGTATGAACCCTTGGCGCTGAGAACCCAGAACTCGTTCTCCGTGTACAGACCTGTGAAACCTTCTTCACCCGTCTCTTCATCAAAGACCCAAAATCCGTACTCACCTTCTTCGGTCTCGCCCTCGTCGATGACGTAGAAGTTGGACCGCTTGCGGTGCGTGATATTTGGGTCTGCAACACCTGTGCGGGAAACGGCAAAAAGTGCTGTTTCACTTGGAGATAGGTGTATTGAGGCATTGCAATCTGACGGATGTTCATGGACGAGACAAAGCGCTCTCGCTGTTGCTCGTTGAGGTCTGCTTGTACTAGAAAAATCAGTGACATCAAATTGTCTGACAATGGAAACTGCTGTGCATGTCTGGTCCTTCTATTGGTTATGGTCTGTTCTCTCAGTTCTTGTTGATAAGCTAGCTTATCTTCATCTGTTACTATCTGGTTATAGTGCAGTCTTTGCTCATCTGTGAGTGCTGCCGTAAATGCCTGAGTGCCTGCCTCGGGAAGATCGGATATGTCCAGCAGATCGGACCAAGAAGCCAACAAACGCTTCTGCGCGATCTCAAATCGCCCTATCCAGTGCACGAATTCGCTCTGGCCTCGATATGTGCGAAACATCTGGAGGAATCGCCAAAGGAACACATGATTTACTCCCTTCACGAAGTATGGTCTCAATGTGTCCTTGAAATGAGCGAGGCCACGATCCGGATCTCGGAGTAGGGCATTATCGAGCATCGACTTATAAAAAGAAGCGGAACCAATGAGGGCATTCTTTAATGATGGTCCGTGTTTATCTGCATCCAATGTTGTGATCCCTAACCAGTCATCAATTAAATCTTCATATTCAAACCAGCTTGATTGGCCATCAAATTGGGGTGGAACCTTTGGTGTCATTTTGATGCCCATCCGGTTTTCGGAATGACTGGTGGCGGCATATGCTTCAGGCTCTTCATAAGAGACAATCTGGAGTTGTTCTTCATCTGAATCCATGTTGTGGATTAAGACCATGGCAGCTACTCTAACTTGACCTACAGGTTGCCTCCGCAAGTCCGATATACGGAATGTATGCAGAGAACGGCAGTTCGGCACACAGATCTAGACTTGGCGAAGGCACAGGCTCCGCTACCACTTTGAGGTAGCTTTCCCCTTTAAGGGAGCCCTGGAACACTATCCTAAACACCTGTGTCAAGCAGTGAGCGGCGGACACTTTTCTATGCTGCGGAATTGCTGCTAGTCTTGAGCCATGCGGAGTGCGCATGAAAGATATGAATTAAGTATACATGTCAACATGCATGAATGCATTGTGAAGACACGTAAACAAAAATAAATCACAGGGGGGGGAGGGGGGGGGGGGGAAACACGGGACACGGGACCATATATATATATATATATTTAAACTATAAACAAAGTAATATAAATATATAAATAATACATACACAATAATATATTTATAAATGTAAATATATATATATATGTTTGTTTACATCCCCATCAAAGCTGTACCCATCTTACCCAGACTTCACATCTCCAGGCTACACCAGCTACTTGGCTGGAAGAAGCCCACAAAGGCCCTGGACAGAGATGGAAGTCATCACCAAAATTGGGTTGACCCGCAAAAATATACGGATTTACCCACCAGGAGATGTGCATGCATATACATACATATATATATATGTATATATGCATACATATAAAATTGACATATGTATACAAAAATGGGGAACAATAATATACAAATCGGGGACAATAACATTATATACTTGTTCATTGTCATGCCATGCGCAAATAAGGGTCGTACCCTATCAGCAGTGAGGATTTCTACCTTCACAGGTTTGAGGCGACTCATGCAAAACAGGAGTATCGGTATAGGGTCAACCCCGATCGGTAATGAAGGTTTTGCACACCCCTCGGCAAGGCTAAGGGGAAGCAAAACTAAATTAGTATTACACGGTGCGCATAGATGTACACAAAAGAATATATATACATATATTTAAATATATATATATATATCAAAATTAAATAAGCAACAAACACAAGACGGATCCGGTTATTTGCGCTTTATGATATGTTTATGAATGAGTCAAACACTGGTAACTTTACGGAAGCCAACATGTAGCTTATATGTGTACATAGCTGTTTATCTCACCAAAGACTGGTCTGAGGGGGTTGACCCCACAGACAAGTTTGCAATCACTGCCGCATGTGTGACGTTTCCCTTTGGTTGTTCCCTTGAACTCAATAACTTGTGTGAAACACATGTTGCAGTTGGGGTCATCATCCAAAAAAAAACCTTCTGCTAGTTAGGGTGTCTTTTAGGCAATGCTTGATCATTTGCTAGAACCAATTTGGTCCCATGCATCGTTTGATAGGCTAGGATCTCCTACCAAAGCCCTAAGTGCAACCCTTCAACAATGATAGATAATGATAGGTTTAAGATTTTTTACGGTTTATATCTCGAAAAAAAACATTCCGCGGAAAAAACTCATGGTTTCTCCCAGGACAGAGGCACAAGATGGAACGACCGAAGAGGAAGGCCACCATCAACGATGCTGCCACTGGCTTCTTCCATGTACAAAACTCCTGCAACGAGTCCAGAAATCCAGGTGGCAAAAATGGCAGACATGTCATGAAGGAAACCCGCAGGATCTCACTTATGACGATATAAACAACCCAAAAAAATCATAAGACGCGAGTTCCCAAATAGACTTGATCTCCTACCAGAAATTGACACGGCCAGCCTTTAGGTACTGTGTGAAGGGGCTCAGCTCCCGATGGAAGTTGTAGATGTGATACCTTGGACAGGTTTCAGAGGGGTTCTGTTTCTCCCGTGTAGACCGAGGGAACGAAGCCTTTTGGGAATGTATTGAATCCAAACATATCCAAACCATTAATATTTAGAAAATGAATGCACATGAGTCTAAGTTCCGGTCGTTTTTTTGCGTTAATTTCGAAGGTTTCTCATCAAAACTGAATCCATTGCGGACGCAAATCAAGATTTACGTCGGACGATTTTGCGACGCAAATCAATCTTTAGTTCCCGAGAATGTTTGAATACTCCCAAACAATTTTAAGATCTGAAAAAAAATGATCAAATCTGATCAACCTGTGAAACATCAAAACGCATGGATAGCCCTTGAAGTGTCGGTCTCTGAGGTCCCACACTGCAATGTCGCCACTATTCCCAGGACGCCTTAAATGTGCATCAAACAAGGGCCCATCGCGTCCTTAAACCCTCAAACAGTGATGTTCATTGGATGAGTTTCCGGAAAAACTTGAAGATTATATATTCCTATCAAGATGGTGCTCCATAGTTAGCTAAGTTGCGTTACAACTCCAACAACCAGGGTTTATGGCAAATATATCTTCAATGGAAATTATACATCAGCTTGTAACTAGGAGGCACCTGCGGCACCACCTACTTTCTGACTTTTGTGGATGAAGATCCCCTCTTGTGTTTTCGGATCATCGGTGATTTTCCCCATGGGCTAATCCCTAATTATACCAAACACATCCAAATACCAACCACCAGAAAGCTAGAAAATTAAAGGACCGGATAACCCCAATATAACCCCACATGTCAAGCCTTCATGTATCTAAGCTTAATGTGAACTTCGGGGAGGTGTGAGAAGTGAGGTGTGAGAAGTGGACTTGTGATGTCAGGTGTGTGGAGCTGTGATGAGTTCTGATGTGATAAGTGAGGTGTGAGAAGTGGAACTGTGATGAGTTGGGATGTGATAAGTTGTGATGAGTTGTGATGAGAAGTGTGACTGTGATGAGTTGGGATGTGATAAGTTGTGATGAGTTGTGATGAGAAGTGGACCTGTGAGAAGTGGAGCTGTGATGAGTTGTGATGAGCAGTGGAGCTGTGATGAGTGAGGTGTGAGAAGTGGAGCTGTGATGAGTTGGTATGTGATAAGTTGTGATGAGTTGTGATGAGTTGTGGTGTACTGCGCCTGCCATCACAAGGCAGCCGCGGCCGCCGCCCACGCGCGCCGCAGCTCCTCCAGGAGGCTCTGTGTACTGCACCTGCCACGCAAAAGGCAGCCGCAGCTCCTCCAGGAGGCTCTGTGTACTGCGCCTGCCATGCGAAAGGCAGCCGCGGCCCCAGCGGCGCCCACGCGCGCCGCAGCTCCTCTAGGAGGCTCTGTGTACTGCGCCTGCCACGCCAAAGGCAGCCGCGGCCCAAGCGGCGCCCACGCGCGCCGCTCCTTCAGGAGGCTCTGTGTACTGCACCTGCCACGCAAAAGGCAGCCGCGGCCCCAGGAGGCTCTGTGTACTGCGCCTGCCATGCGAAAAGCAGCCGCGGCCCCAGCGGCGCCCACGCGCGCCGCAGCTCCTCCAGGAGGCTCTGTGTACTGCGTCTGCCACGCCAAACGGCGCCCACGCGCGCCCAGGAGGCTCTGTGTACTGCGCCTGCCACGCGAAAGGCAGCCGCGGCCCCAGCGGCGCCCACGCGCGCCGCAGCTCCTCCAGGAGGCTCTGTGTACTGCGTCTGCCACGCCAAACGGCGCCCACGCGCGCCCAGGAGGCTCTGTGTACTGCGCCTGCCACGCGAAAGGCAGCCGCGGCCCCAGCGGCGCCCACGCGCCCCGCAGCTCCTCCAGGAGGCTCTGTGTACTGCGCCTGCCACGCCAAAGGCAGCCAGGAAGCTCTCTGTACAGTGAGTGAATGAGTGAGTGAGTGAATGAGTGTGAGTGAGTGTGAGTGAGTGTGTGTGTGTGTGAGTGAGGAGGGAGTGAGTGAGTGAGTGAGTGAGTGCGTGCGTGCGTGCGTGCGTGCGTGAGTGAGTGAGTGAGTGAGTGAGTGAGTGTTGAAATTGGCTATTTTCAATAGCAAACTGTTAGTTTACAACGCCATGGCCGCCGCGGGACTCTTTGGGACGAACATCCTGGGCACCGCCGGCGGTTGGATCCTCGGCTGCACCAGTTCCATGTCGAAGTCCTCCTCGGGTGGCCTCGGCCAAGTCGATGTGAAGAAACCGTTGAAGTGATGATCAAAATACCCTCCGGTAATTTAACATAGCTATTGAAAATTGCCATTTATACTGGATTTACCCATTAAACATGGTGATTTTCTATAGCTACGTTAGTTTACCAGAGGGTAGCTTATCCGATAGGTTATATATACAGGTTATATCATTGTTATATCGTGTTATATCAATGTTGTCATATAGTAGCGATGTTCATCCCTATGCCCTGAAAGCATCTGAAAAATGGTATCGTTCTTGCAATGTGGTGCAGATCCCAAGGGGACACTGTGATAGATTAATCGTGGGGATCTAACTAACCGATGTGAAATGGGGATAGAAACAAATATTAATATAACATGTCAACCCCCGATGAATGACATACAACATCATATAACCATATATAGCCCTGGGTGAGGATACTAGAGGCTTACCCCAAAACATGACGTCAGTTGAGTCAGTTGCTACTAAACTGGTACCCGCGTCTCAATTCAACCGCCAAAGGATGCTAAGGGTGTTGTTCTGGATTACGATCCCACAGACATGACCGCTTTTCATTTCCGTGGTTCGTGTCATAGCCAACCAACACAAAGATAAACCATCGAAAATTCAAAAACCATGCCTCGTAAGACAATATGTTTTTTTCCCAAACGAAGAGATACTTACTTGTGCTCTATTTTTTGATAAACACAATCGCAGTCCTTGGTTTAAACCTCGCTGTTCCATCTGCCATACGTGCTAAACTGAAGCACTCGTCTGGAGCACATTCATCGAAGACAACGGTCACCGTCCTGGAAAATGCGTCGAGCAACCCAACCTACTCCCAGTTGGAACGGGAAAAAGCAACCCAATTGCTAACCCCTACCCTCCTATGTCATCAAACGTGGCTGGTTGGGAAATCCCCGAACTGAATGGATGTCTTAATGGGAAAATAATCTATCAATGTAGACACACCCATCAAAGAACAAAAACTGTGTTGGAATCTTCAACCACCCTTTTCTGGAGGCGCTTTGGTTGTAACCTTCTGCCTTTTCCGGGATCCTGTGGGTGTGAAACAGTTCCAACAGGCACCAAAAGTCCGTCGATTGGTGTGCTGCCCTTGGAATCCAAAATAGAAGCACATGCTCGGCAGAATCTAATGAATCTAACGTTGAGATGTTCACATCTGAAATATTTTTGATCTATGGTGGTTTGCTTTGTCGTTTCCACCAATTCATGCTCGGAAAAGTCGCCACAAATCAGGGCTAACATAATAACCCGCCCTTCACACCTTTACCAAGGTTTTCAGGGGAAAACAAAAAACAAACAAAATAAAACGACCAACTTGAATCTTATACATCATCATCATCATCATCATCAAAGTGCTGGAACCCACCAGAGTTTATTTCCAGCCTATTGAACGAGCATTTCCGGCAAACCATTCTCACGCACCTTCTGAAAATCAAACCTGGCTGTTAAACATGCCCCCGTATACAGGTTGAGATCATGACTGTTCTCGATGTCGATATGGCTCTGTGCTGCGATCTGCATGATGTCCGAAGAAATCACGAAATCTCAAAAAAACAAATCTCCGGCAAGAGACCCCAAACAGTGTGGGGGGAGTGGGAGGATAATGTAGGATAATGTAGGATAATGATGAAGATCATGATGATGATGATGATGATGATGACGATGATGATGATGATAATCGTGATAATCATGATGATAATGATGACGTTGAGGACTACGATGTTGATAATGATGATGATGATATTGAGGATGATGAGGTGCAGGAGGATGATGCGGAGGATGGTGATGTTGAGGTGGATGAGGATAAGAATGACGATGTTATGGAGGATGAGAATGAAAAGAATGAGGATGGTAATGCGGAAGACGAAGTGGAGGACGATAAGGTGGAGCATCATGATGCGGAGAAGGATGATGATGATGATGATGAAGATGATGATGATAATCGTGATAATCATGATGATAATGATGACGTTGAGGACTACGATGTTGATAATGATGATGATGATGATATTGAGGATGATGAGGTGCAGGAGGATGATGCGGAGGATGGTGATGTTGAGGTGGATGAGGATAAGAATGACAATGTTATGGAGGATGAGAAAAAGGATGGTAATGCGGAAGACGAAGTGGAGGACGATAAGGTGAAGCATCATGATGCGGAGAAGGATGATGATGGTGATGATGATGATGATGATGACCATGGTGATGATGTTGATGATGATGATGATGACGACCATGGTGATGATGAAGAACATGATGATGATGACCATGGTGATGATGACGACCATGGTGATGATGGTGAGGAGGAGGAGGAGGTTGAGGATGGTGATGATGGTGGTGATAGTGATGATTTTGGTGATGATGATGATGATGATGAGGATGAGGAGGGGGAGGATGATAATGAAGCCGCGGCCCAGAAGCTAGGACCACACTTTGTGCGAGCCTGCGCATTCGAAATACACTCCGCCATTTCACCAGAGCCACTTTATACAGAACAGACCCCAGATTGACCCCAGAACACGGACGAGCCTGCACAGTCGAAATGCACTGGAACATTTCAGAAAAGCCACTTTATACAGAAATTTGCAAGAAAAATGCCGCGCCCCAAAACCGCGGCCCACACTTTGCGCGAGCCTGCGCAATCGAAATGCATGTCAACATTTCACAAGAGCCACTTTATACGGACATTTACAGGAAAAATGCCGCGGCACAGCTGGAGCACCCAGATCAAGCACCGGCCTTTACACCTAATTACCGTAAGAACTCCTCAGTGTGGACACACTGTTTGGGGAAAAAGCAAAGGTGATGTGCCAGGATATTGCAGTGTCAGTGTTCTCACAAAAGGAGCCATGATTTATGGGATGGGCTCGCAAAAAGAAGCCGTCAGATCCAGAAAGGCACCCCTCCTGCCGCGGACGTTGGTGACTGTGCCCTTCCGACGCTCCTGGAAAACACGGCATTAGAACGCCAGCTTTGTGTTTGAGCTTGTTTCTATCTTGTCGGTACTTTATGACTTGCACGCATGCACATCCCAGCTTGCATTTTCTAGTTTTCCGTGATTATATAACCAACTTCAAAACCCGCGGAGCTAGGCGGACTAAGCCCAAATCCTAACCTACTTGGATTCAGTGTTAGTCCTATAATGCATAATAACAAGGTCAAGCTTTCAGACATTTTTTGAGACACTGTAATATTACTACTACTCTTCTCCACTTATTTTATATATATATATATTTATTATCATACCATGTGCCGCCTGAATTGTTTGAAGACATGCGCCATATTTCAACTTTGGGAACCATCAGGCACTGTTTTTTGTATCGCCAAGTTGCCACGTACACCAAGGCATTCTTCTTGACCACCGGCTTCCGGGGCATATCAATGAACCACAATTCCTGAGCCCAGCTGATTGGGGATTGCAACATTTCCTCATAATCCCTAGCCCCTTTTACTAAACGCACCCCAAATACTATAAACCAGGGTCCGCGTTAAATTTTGGGAAATTTCAAACTGGCCAATTTGATTTTTAATTGATCCCCTTTCAAAAACAAATTATATAAAAAATGAAGGTCCCATTTCAGGGTTTCACCCCCTAATAATAAAAACTAATCAACCCCGGGGTGTTTTTTTTATTAGGGTCCGTCTTTTAAGGTCGGGGAAACAAGTATTTTATGTTAAGGTTTTTAATTTAATATTATTCGCGGAAAGCTTGGAAATCCAATTTTTGGCAATATGTTAATTAGTTTTTAAAAGGAAATGTAATCGATTTTGAATAGAACAACATGCTTTTTATATTGGGGTTTTGATTTAGTATTAGTTGGAAGCTTCGCATCCTAATGCTTAATACCCCCTATTACTAAAAACTCCTCCAGGTGTTTATTATTTTTTGGGGGGACCGTGTAGTAATAGGGGGGTATCTATTCTGGTAGCTAAGCGAAAGGACATCTACCACTGGATCTACCACCCAAGAACATTCCGATTCAATAAATCTGAAGTCTCCAACTGTGCAGCGGGTTTTCCGGTCTTCTGGGGCCAGACCAACTTGGTGAGCCCATTGGCGGCACAATTTGACTATACAAGCACACCTATGTCGAATAAGTTCCACACAGGGTCAATTTAGCTCCTTTAATCTAGCAATGTTTCATTCACATGATTTCGTAACTTGCATTTTCAAAATATTGCAAGCACTTTGAGAAGACTGCAAATTTATACATTATGTTTGAGTTCGATGATTTTGTTTGCGCAATCTTGAGATCTTTCATTCATGTTCCATTCATATCTCATTACTATTGCATCATATGATCAAACCATCCAAATTTTCTTGGCAAAAAAGACACCATTGCCATCGCATTCATCGCCATTTCTAGGGCTTCACTGGGGCTTGACCTGCGGCACCACCATCACCGCCCCTGCTTTCGTCGCGATGCATGCATGGCATCCAGCAGTTCATCAAAAGTGATTTCCAACTCCCCACGGCCCACGCAAACCGTGCCGGCCCAATGCACCAGCTCCTGCCAGGGAAATATCGGCGGGAAATTCATAACTCACCAACATGTGGGATTTCACGTGATATAGTCCACCAAAATTGGGACTTTAGCTTTCAAACCTAGGACCTAGGAAGATTACAATGACTTGTACTGAAAAAAAACACAAAAGAATGGACACCATACTTTTTCCATCTTTTTTTCCCATGAAATCAATCCTGTTTGACCGTAGATGTTCCAGCTGATTTTCAACCGAAAACAAATCCTGAGAGCCTGGAGCTCACCTTGCCCCGAGGTGATCCAAACCTACTTCGAAAGTACCAAATTTATGGGATAAAATACCCATGTCTGTGGCATCTATGGGTAGTTGGAGAGTCTAGCTATATATAAATATAAACTTCAATGAAAATACAAACCTTGGCTTTTCCACCCACAATGCCAGTAAATGGTGAAAGCATGTGAAAGCTAAGCTCGATTTCGCAACGATCCTGGTGACTGCCGTGTAGTGAGGGGGTGGGAGGCTTGGTGAGAAAAAAACAACTGAATTGCAGGCAACTAGCTTGCCATAGGGTTTCTATTTTTCAGAAAATTCCGGAGAATATCGCTGCTGAATGAACCATTGATATGCATAGATGGAGGCCATCCCTCAAACCGCCCGTCACACCCCAAAAACACGCCCCAATTGATGTTGCTTCCTGCCATAGTATAGTATATGAAACTTTTACTCCCAATCTATTTCACTATTTAATTATCTATAACTACCCTCCGGTAATCAAACATTATAACTGAATTTCCTCCATGTATGGATGGTTTTCCCAACGAACTAAGCCTCCATGGCTGGTTCGGGGATTGTTTTGATTGTTGGTTAGTAACTCGGTTAATATGATCAAGTGAAATCCCGTCAATAATCATCCATTATATCCCAATTTTATCACACTTCTACATGATTTTCCCATTCTTTTCATGGCCCAAAACCCAGGAACTGGTGGATGTTTATTCCAGCTGGGCGGCCCCATGTCCTGCATGCCAATGATCTGACCGTTGCGGGCCTCCACGACCCGCATCAAGAAGCAATGCATCTCCTGGGGATTTCGATGGATTCCACCCAGAAAAACACAATGTTTTGGTCTTCAAACCATTGAGACAGGCTTGAACCAGGAAAAGTTTGAACCCAAAAAAACGACCCTGGAGGATGTTGATGTTTGATCTTCAACGGATTTTCGATTTCACCCAGAAAAAAGACCAGATCTGACCATAGTACATATGTTGTTTTTGGCGCATTAAAAAACAATTGAGACAAGGGTTGACCGGAGATCAATGCTGTAGACTGTCGTTTTTGCCTTTTGCGGGCAAGCTCAGCCGCCAGTTAAGCTGCAGCAGATTCATGTCTGCATGGTTAACTTCATAATATGTTTTTCCTAGTGTAAGTCCGGCATTGAAAGTAGCAAACCCCAAAAATACGTTCACTAGAAAAAATCATTGGAAAATACGCATGTGTCAGTACTTGTGTAAGGTAAAAGGTTGAAATCCTAGTGCTCCCCATGTTCATCCATTCTTCAGCCCAGCCGCTGATGTCTCATTCCAGGCTGCCACCATCTCCAAACCTCCCGGGGAGTATGCTCGTCATTGGGGATCATTATACAACACATGGTTGAATATATATATAATATATATATATATGTAGTTGAAAACATCAGCCAAATAAAAACATGGAAGACCTGCCATGAAGTATGTACATAATTGTACATAGATAGATATAATTTCCAAAGCAAAACTTGGGTTCTCAATATCAATATCTGTCTTAGTTTTGACCCCAGAGTAAGATTTAGAATCGGTGCCATGATTTCCACACACTTTTGGGATCTCATCTAGTTAGTTTTGTTCGATGAATACCTAGAACAGTGTTCCATTATGCCCACCCCAATCCAGGCCATCCAGGGAAGCTGGTTGAGGATGCACCCCCTTTGTCACTCCAAGTGGCTTCATACCCTTGTAGATTGTAAGATATATATTGTAAGTAGCTATTGACATGTCTACAGCCAGGATTTTCGTGGGTACTTTCTCCCCAACATGGATGTACCACGCCGCGAGCCAGGGCTGGCACCTTCCTGGTTCAATGGCGCGTTCAAACCATTGGTGCTCAGAACGTCCCTCCACTTCTTGTCCTCAGCTGCCACAGGGAAGGGCTTGTGGGGAATCCTCAGTCATAGCAGTTATAGCAGTTGTTGGAAGTGTAAACCAAGAAACCCAGCTTGATTATGGCCCACCCCGTGTAGATTCTTGGTAGATGACCCGCAAATAGCGCAAATAGCTTGTACATCCCATGTACATGGCAAGGAAAGAGCAAAAAAACAAATCCAAATGGCTTTAGTAAATTACCATGGATTCTTTAAGTTCCAGGATGTTCCAGGATCATCCTGCATTGGCTTCGCGACTTCTGGGATGAATGATGGTTTGCGGGCCAATGTTCATCATCTGCTTGGTGGTTACAACTCAAATCAGCCTGAGTTGGTCAGGTCAAACAAGTACTCAACTAGTCCAGCTCAGGCTGGCTTACTGAGAAATGTCAAACTGCCATCTTCTGGGATATTTTCGGTCACGATCGCCAGTTATCGGTGAAGTCTCACTTGTTGCTGTGGTGAAAAGCAGCCCCCCACCCACCCTGACAAGTCTCCGAAAGCAGCACCAGCACCTGAAAAATGTGACGCAAGGGTGGCTGGGGCAAAGGCGATATCTCCATGAGAAGTTGGGCAATGTACCCCCCTGAGTTCAGCCTGGACAAGAGCCGCAATTGACGGCAATTGAAGGGCTGAGATTAGCTTCCCTAAAGCTGGCAATGTTTCATTTCTGCCTACAAATTATGAACGTTGGCATGCTGAACCTTGACCTCTCCAGGAACATATCTTTGTTTGATGCACAAAGAATTGGGTGCGCTGAACCCGCCTCAGTCAGAAACAGATTGATGAGATCAGGTGGTTTCGAAGCACAACCCCCTGTGTAGTCGGCCAATGTGTTTTATGGCCCCAACAACTGTGTGGTTGCAAAAGCCATGGTGACAGTAGCTACAATAAGCAGCTGGATGTGGTGTCCCACTGAATTTCTACGCAACAGAACTGGGGCTGTAACAACAACTGAGCAAATGTCAGTCATAGAGTAATAGTTCAATCGCTTGGAACAAACATAGGCAGGATATGGCCATATGGGGTGTTTTTGTTAGGGATAAATTAGTTTCTCTGCCGGGTTCATGAAGTCCGAATTCTTCGTGTCGTAAAACCCACTTATCAGAAACCAGCGATCCAAAAACGGTCAGCAAGTGGACCAACCCAAAAAATCATCAGCCAGGGGTCACAAGTTTGCCTCCAACCAGGTAATCCTCCCATCTCCACTTCCCTCTTAAAACACCCACCAAAAAAAGTAAGCAAAGGCACCACGCCCATCCAGAGATGCCAAATGCCCCAAGCCAAAAGCCTTGGTTTTGAGTGTTTTTATAGTGAGCCAATAAGGATTTCACCTTCAACATCAACTAACCAACAAGCAGGGTGATTTACACACAGTTTTGTGATATAAGGATTCTGAATTCAAAAAAACACTGCTTCCATCTGCTTCCCAATTGGAATGAATGACCCTGACCTTTGGGACCATTTAAAAAGGAAAGATCCAATGCAAATGCCTCACCAGGGGTGGCTTTTGTGGGGGTAGGACATGGATGAGCCATCAGAAAAAGGATGGACACCCTTGTAACTTGGCTGACTAGGGTTTATGGTTTATGGGAGATATAACGGTTATTGAAATAAGATTACACACCAACTTACAACTGGGGGCCCCACGTTGTAGATATCTTGATTTTCCATGAGATCGTCATGGTGTGGAAGCCAAGCGACTCACTTTTGAAGGTGGCAATCACCTAGCTGCTCGGGAGCATCGCAGGATGGAACACGAAACAAGTAACACCGCTAGCCAAATATGATCAGACCCATTCTTTGAAGTCTCATCTGCAGTAACACATCAAACAAAAACTGCCAGCACATGCTGAAACTTACAACTATAGCTTATATCGTCATAACTCAAAAAAAAGTATCCTTGGGCTGCTGCCCTGCCAGCATCAAACCCATACAATCCATTTTAAGGCATTTTTTACATTTATAAACGGTTCATTTCTGGGTTAGTTTTAAGTGGCGATCACCACTACCAGTTCCAGTTGATCATCCAACCCAAACCCGTTGCGGCCGACCGTGGCCAGCAAAAGTCCGGAGAGGAAGAACGACTTCCAGGCAACGATATAGCTCACAAACGCCAGCATGGCCTTGTTTTTGCAGCCAGGAACGTGCGCGTGCTCACATTTACAAAGTAATTACAACTTGGATATGCACATAATTGTGGTTAGTAAGGCTATACATATAAATCGAAATACTTACTTATATATATATATATATATATATAGATGCTTGGAAAAGCATATAGACAAAAAACATATGGGTGCATATATATATACACATACTTACATACACTGTATGTATGATATAGATATAGAAATCAAATGCATAGGCAAAAGCAGCACACAGGACCATGTCTTCCGAGTGGCAAAGATCAGGTCGTCTAAGAGCCTGGGGGCAATGACTGGGGCCGGGGCCGGGCATCCTCTATCTATATAAGATAGAAATGTTTCAATATGCCTTTAATATATCATCAAAATAAACATTTAGCTAAACACAACATTATGAGTGAGTCCCAGCTTAACTATATATTCATATTTTGAAAACATACCATTTCACTAGATCTAGAAATTCGAACATGGTTATATCCAAAATATAAATAAATAAAACATAGCAACCCACAAAACGATAGAACCAATAATTATTACCTTTCACATATTGTTGGAGTTTACTACCCTTTGGTATACTAACAGTTTGCTCGAAAAAAATCAACTATAAATGGCCGTTGTCAATATGTAACAAATTACCAGAGGGTAAATCCGATTGAAACACAGTTGTTGTTAGTTTTGTTATCCCATTAAACCACCATTAAACCACCATTTATGGAGGGTAAATACCATTAAATCCCACCAACACCTCCATAAGTACCATGGAAGTTTACTGAAAAATCCGTCCCGAGAGGCTGGAGTTTGATGTCCATGGCATCATCCACCAGTTCCTTGAGATTTGTCACCGACGTACTAGCAGCGACAAAATTAGTGAAGTATATAACTATAAAACCCATAAACAAATATGAATGATATATATATATATATGTACAATAATATATAGTGATTTAACTTAGGGAAAAACAAAAACGACATCAAATTTTTACAACTCTCCGATTTTTCTCGGTTTCTGCATCTTTTCAGGGGTTGCTACGGGTTGAATTTCAACATTTATAGCTCCTGTTGTCGTTTCAAAAAACCCATACTTGTATAGCTTCTGTTCATGTTTGGGCGGAATCCCGTAAAAAAAACTCTGTTGTCTAAAAAATGGCCTGAGCTTCACATAAGTTTTGAACTAAACAAGGTATGCATGAAAATATATCAAGTGTTTTCAACACATGGATCCTGTCCTAGGGGAAATCTTCGGATGTTCTAGTTGTGTTCACGTAGTGAACCATGCAGGCTGGCAGCGGTAGCTCCAGAATTTGACACCCAACAAATGAATGAATCAGTGCCAACAGCTCCGGAATTATAACTATCTTGGGGAACTGGCCTGTGTATCCCTGATTCCGCATCTTCGCCATGGAGCTTGTAGATCCAACTGTGGCAAATACTCCTCCTGCACGAAGGTCGCATAGGTGAAACACCTTGGAGTTTTCGCTTCGAGTCTTGAGCTGCGAACATCCCGGGCACTGGGCGAGGAACATTTGCAGGAAAGCCTTTACAAAAAAACCCTCCGGGGTCATCAAATGTGGCAATTGGAAATCCACAAAGCCAGTCATTGGGGATCATCCCCCGTATGAAAGCAAGACACTAAAGTGTCTTACGCTAATCAAATCATTATTGGTTTCACCCAATTGCATCCAATTACAGAACAATATTTAACATTATTTAACTATCATAACACTCATTCTATTCTCATCATTTTGATAGTTGAACCCCTGTGTTTGTTGGTCTCCGGAGAGTTTCACCCCTTGAACCCCCATGTTTGTTGCAAAAAATGCCCGTCATTGCACGGTTAAATCCCCATGTGTCACGATCAAATCATATTAAGTCACCATTTTGGAAGGTTAAGTCCTACTTTTTTATGGTTAAATTCCAATGTTTCCCATGTTTGGATGGTTAAATCCGAATGTTTCATGGTTAAATGCCTATTTTTACCATGTAGTTCTACACAGTTTCTTGCCCTGGCTCCAAAATTCAAGGACCAGTGGCGAGGGCTGCAGCGCGCGTGCAAAGGCGTCCATACCTGGAATGCTGACACAGCAGCGACAAGCCAATGTGGGTTTGATAGTAGTCATATCGTTACCATTAATATAGATAATAACCGTCATGCTTTAATGGTTAGTAGTAGTCATATAATTAATTAATAGCACTCATATAGTTAATGTTTACTACATGACTTTGTTTAGTGGTTTCTGGTAATGAATATTCATATCTAGCTATCAACTAAAGTTACTGTTAATAATACAATGTTGGTTACTATTACTAGTTGCCGTCGTGTAGGTATCAGTGTAGCTATTAAATACTGATGTTTAACAATCGTGTTTAGTGAACTTTGGCCAGCAACAATCAAACTTTTTTGACGTTGCCTCTCTCTCTCTCTCTATCGCCATTGGACACTAGAAATAGGGATTTGACCATCCCGAACTCACAGCTTGACCCTGAAGAATCGTCCCACTTTACGATGATCATGGATGACGGATGAATAGCAAAGCATTGATCACTGTTTTCCCAAAGAGAACAATGGGATGATGAAAAACTGCAGGCTCCTTTTTCTCTCTGCGAAAAAGAAAAGTGAAGTAAATAGTTGTGCGATTCCCTGATAAGCCGAACGCTTGGTGGAACTAGACACATAAAAAAACTGGTGGTTACGTGTCGAAATTTGTATTGGCCCTATGTATGAATCCCCTTTGGACAGGGAAATCAATCCACTCCATTGAACCGCGCCTCGAGGCACCACTCGCCGGAGCTTCATCCTGCACCGCTTCGCATACTGGAATCGTCGATGTATTAGGTGACTAGATTTTACTATACATCAGGACATGTATGGTGTTGCTTGATGTTACTAGTACACTTGTACTGTATATGTGCGCTATACTATGCTGCTCGTGTATCTCTATAGCCTAAACACGTGAAAAATACCAATATCACATAACAAAAATGATATTCCAAAGCTGGGACCTAGGTAGCATCATACCAGTGCGAGTCCGCAATATGGGTAGTTTCCCCAATACTAATAATGGACATCCCACCACAAACTAAAGACATTGAAAGTGAGTTGTCAACCACTTATGTACTCACATGGATCTCCACAAGAATAAGTACAAAAAACCGTTATTTAAATAAATATATATATACTACTTTATTTTTATTTATTTATTTAATAAATTTTTATATATATATATATCCTAAGAAAAAAAAAATATATATATTAGAAAAGGGACAATCGCACTCTTAAATCGGAGCCTTAGCAATCAGGGTCGTAGGATTATGGTTCATTTATTTTTAAACGCATTTATGGCTATTCCTGGGAAATTTCTTCCAGCATTGATTTTTTTTTTCTCCCTCCTCAAACGGATCTCCCCGGCATTGTACTGCACCGTGTCGTCTTCGTGTGCCTGCAGGGAGCGCGGGCAATGTCAACCCAGGATGAACCAATCACCTTGCGTTTCCTCACGAAAAAGATGATCAATATGCACCTATAAGACTGCATGCATGCATGCATGAATGCATGAATGCATGAATGCAAGAATGAATGAATGCATGAATGCATGAATGCATGAATGCATGGCTGCATGAATTCATGAATGAAAGAATGAATGAATGAATGCATGAATGCCTGAATGCATGAATGCATGAATGCATGAATGCATGGCTGCATGAATGCATGAATGCATGAATGCATGAATGCATGAATGCATGAATGCATGAACGCATGAATGCATGAATGCATGAATGCATGAATGCATGAATGCATGAATGCATGAATGAATGACTGAATGACTGAATGACTGAATGACTGAATGACTGACTGACTGACTGACTGAATGAATGAATGCATGAATGAATGAATGAATGAATGAATGTGCGTGTATGTATGTGTGTGTATGTGTGTGTATGTGTGTGTGATATGTATGTATGGATGGGTGGATGCATCTATGGACGCATGTATGTATGTATGTATGCATGCATGTATGAATGAATGCATGAATGAAGGAATTAATGACTGAATGGATGGATGGATGAATGAATGAATGAATGTGCGTGTGTGTATGTATGTGTGCGTATGTATGTATTTATGTATGGATGGATAGATGTATGTATGGATGTATGTGTGTATGAATGTATTTATGTATGTATGTATGCATGCATGTATGAATGGAAAAAAAATGAATGAATGAATGAATGAATGAATGAACGAGTGAGTGAGTGAATGAATGAATGAATGAATGTTTGTGTGTATGTATGCATTTATGTATGGGTGGATGGATGTATGTGTGTATGTATGTATGTGTGTATGTATGTAACGTATGTTCGTACGTACGTACGTACGTATGTATGTAAGTAGGTAGGATTGTATGTATGTAGGTATGTAGGTATGCAGTATGTAGGTATGTAGGTATGTAGGTATGTAGGTATGTAGGTATATAGGTATGTAGGTATGTAGGTATGTAGGTATGTAGGTATGTAGGTATGTAATGTATGTAATGTAATGTAATGTAATGAAAAGTAATGTAATGAAAAGTAATGTAATGTAATGTAATGTATTGTATGTAACGTATGGTATGTATGTATGTATGTATGAATGAATGTATGTGTGTATGTGTGTATGTATGTATGTATGTATGTAATGTAAAGCAATGTAATGTAATGTAATGTAATTATTAATGTAATTATATATGTATGTATGTACTGTTATGTAATGTTATATAATGTCATGTAATGTTATGTAATGTTATGTAATGTTATGTAATGTAATGTAATGCCATTATTAATGTAATTTTGTATGTGTGTATGTATGCATGCATGTATGCATGTATGCATGTATGTATGTATGTAACGTATGTAACGTATGTAACGTATGTAACATATGTAACGTATGTAACGTATGTAACATATGTAACCTATGTAACGTATGTAACGTATTGTATGTATGTATGAATGTATGTATGTGTATATGTATGTATGTATGTATGTATGTATGTATGTGATGTATGTAATGAAATGTATGTAATGTAATGTAATGTAGAGTAATGTAATGTATGTATGAATGCTTTTTTTGAATTTATGTACGTGTGTATGTTCGTATGTAGGTATGTAACGTATGTATGTATGTAGGTATGTAGGTATGTAGGTATGCAGGTATGTAGGTATCTAGGTATCTAGGTATCTAGGTATGCACGTATGTAGGAAGGTAGGTCGGTAGGAGGTAGGTAGGTAGGTAGGTAGGTATGTATGTAGGTAACCTATGCATGTCTGTATGTATGTAAGTAGGTAGGTAGGTATGTAGGTATCTAGGTATCTAGGTATGTAGGTATCATGGTATCTAGGTATCTACGTATGTAGGTAGGTACGTAGGAATGTATGTATGTATGCATGTATGCATGCATGCATGTATGCATGGATGTCTATATGTATGTATGTATGTATGTACGTATGTATGTATGTGTGTATGTATGCATGCATGCATGTAACGTATGTAACGTATGTATGTATGTATGTAGGTAGGTAGGTAGGTAGGTAGGTAGGTAGGTAGGTAGGTAGCTATGTAGCTATGTAGCTATGTATCTATGTAGCTAGGTAGCTAGGTAGCTATTTAGCTTTGTAGCTATGCAGCTATGTAGCTATGTAGGTAGGTATGTAGGTATGTAGGTATGTAGGTATGTAGGTATTTATTTATCTATGTATCTATGTATCTAACGTGTGTATCTCACGTATGTATGTCTGTATGTATGTATGTAGGTAGGTATGTAGGTATGTAGGTATGTAGGTAGGTAGGTATGAATTTATAAAGTATGCGTATATAAAACATATTTATACATGTGTGTACAAACTGTATCAATGACTTTATTAAGTCATCAAAAACTGCAATGTGGGATCTCAAATGTTGGTTGATAACGGAGTCCTGATTGATCATTTAAACCATGTAGGAATAGGGTGAAATACGTAATTACTTTCTGGTAATCTAATGCAACCATAGAACATCACCATATTTAATAGGCAAATAATCTATACATTGGCCAAGGGCAAAAAAAAATGTATTAATCCGAGTAAATCCAATTTAAATCTCATACTTGATGGTTAAATACTCCACCAATTCTAGTAAAATTCCCCAAAACGCGCCTTGTTGGCCAACACCGAGATCCCATGGTGCACCCGTCGAATGACACGGGAGGCCAGGGAGGCAGGGACCACACCCTTCACTTTCCTGGGGCTGGAGCTGGGGGGATGGGAGAAAACTAGGACCGGATTACACATAGTTTTATCAATCTATGTTAACCAGACTTAATCCCATATAAATCCCATATAATTCCGGGAAATTGGGAATAACCGTCCTTAGATAACTAACATTCCTGGTTAACATTTATAATATAATAAATGATTTTATGGGACTATATGGGATGCATATGGAATTTGATGGGAAGCATTGGAAATCCATCATTAATGGAGAGAGCAAAGTTGATTTGGAACTATGGGTTAGCTATGATATGGTTCATAGTAGATACATTGAAGCAGGTATAATCGCTATATAGTATATTTTGGGATCATCCCTAAATTTTTGGCAGTTCAGTGATTTCACGTGAATCAATCGAAATAGGGATTCAAGTGTGAAGAAGTGGCATTCAACTGATTTGGAATATTTGGAGGCAACATATGGACAAATATGTTTAATATAGGATTAACATGAACTAACATCCATCCCAGAAATTAGTTTGCAATTCCCCATCATTAAAAGGGAAATTTAAGCTGAAGGAAAAAATGGAAACATAGTTTGCAGGATAAACGAAATGACAGCAATATGAAAGATATTCACGAACACATGTAGGGAGATTCACCAGCAAAGTGGGGATTCGACCAATGTTTTTTGACAATGGGAGGTGGATGAATGATCAGCAAAACTCTCATCAACACTATTCTTTAAGACTTAAGAAGACTATGGGGACTATCATTACTGGGGAGGGCATGCGATATTAATCATTGAAAAAGGAACGTAATGGCTATTGAAGTAAGCAAAACAATCATGGGGAGTCAACAGGTTTGTCACAAGTTCGAAACATATCAAAAAGAGATCACCGACAGGCTCACCCCTTTCACGCTCTTGCCCTCGACCAAGACAGCAGGTCTGTTGTTGCTGTACTTGTAGGAGATCGGGGTACCTGTCTGGAAGCGCTGCCGCGCGAAGGAAACCATATTCTCAATGTGGTCCCCCACTACAGCTTCATTGCGGACCGGCCCAGGGTTCTGCAGCCATAAAGGCCGTCGGGCCCGAACCTCCGCCCATTCTTGGACGGCCCCAGTACAGGATTGAGGTAGCACTCTTCCTCTAACCTCATCATGTGGTGGGTGCTCGCAACATGCTTGTTGTCAGCCACTTGTTTCCGCAGAGCAGACACTTCGCCCATGTCGTGCCATACTCCCGTGTCTGTGTGAGAGCATAGTTGTGCACAGCTTGGTGGTCTGCCTCAGTGCTCTTGTACTTGTTGTTGACAGCAGTCGAAACATGCTTAAAACATTGGGGATTTTGAGAAAGTCTGAGACAGTAAGCAGCAGTGGGGATTCACCATGTTCAGCATTTCTTTGCCCATCTCAATAAATTGATAAGCAACCAGAGAGATGATTTAACCCACAAATCATTTTTTGTTGAATCTGATCCACACTGTGATTGCGCTTCATGCCCATTTTTTGAAGACCAGGGTGACGTGGCTAGGACTGCGCAAGCCTTTGATTACTATATAGGTTTGTGGGCTCACTGTTTTGGCATGAATCAACACACAAAACAGCTATCACACTAAACATTTCCCAAGGCATGCTGGGAGCGAACTGCTCCTAAAATTAAAAACGGTTGAAGACAGTTTTTATCGCTTTTGGTTAACAACAGTGTATCAAATCCGACGTGTCGCTTTAAGGTCTTCAGGTCCGGAATAGTTACGACCATCCATGCTGTGCAGTGTTGATAAATCTGCACAATTTATAATATTTCGCAGGTCGTCGCCTATTTCGAATAATTTTACCGCTGAAATATTGACGTCGTCTGAATTAGTAAAATATTTTACGTCGGCCTAATACGACAACAGGACCTGCTTTGATTTCTTAATTTGCTGCATGGGTATGTTCTGTAAAATAAACACAACGTTTTGTTTGTCGAAGCTTTGCCGCTTAAAGCCAATTTTTCCAGCCGTAGCTGCCCATACAAAAGCTAGAAAAATAAGCATCTTGCTTCTGAACGCGCCGAAGACTTCAATTTCCTAGTTTGATAAACTAGGATTTTTGCGTTTTGTCCAGGCTTTGCTGCTTAAAACCGATTTTTCCAGCCGTAGCTGCCCATACAAAAGCTAGAAAAATAGGGAACTTGCTTTTGAAGGCGCTGAAGACCTCAGTTTCCTAGTTTGATAAACTAGGATCTTTCTGTTTGTCCAAGCTTTGCCGCCTAAAACCGATTTTTCCAGCCGTAGCTGCCCATACAAAAGCTAGAAAAATAGGCACCTTGCTTTTGAACGCGCTGAAAACCTCATTTTCCTATTTTGATAAACTAGGATCTTTCTGTTTGTCCAAGCTTTGCCGCCTAAAACCGATTTTTCCAGCCGTAGCTGCCCATACAAAAGCTAGAAAAATAGGCAACTTGCTTTTGAACGCGCTGAAAACCTCATTTTCCTATTTTGATAAACTAAGATCTTTCTGTTTGTCCAAGCTTTGCCGCCTAAAACCAATTTTTCCAGCCGTAACGGCCCATACAAAAGCTAGAAAAATAGGCAACTTGCTTTTGAAGGCGCTGAACTAGAATCTTTCTGTTTGTCCAGGCTTTGCCGCCTAAAACCGATTTTTCTAGCCGTAGCTGCGCATACAAAAGCTAGAAAAATAGGGAACTTGCTTTTGAACGCGCTGACAACCTCATTATCCTATTTTGACAAACTAGGATCTTTCTGTTTGTCCAGGCTTTGCCGCCTAAAACCGATTTTTCCAGTCGTAGCTCCCCATACAAAAGATAGAAAAATAGGCGACTTGCTTTGAACGCGCTGAAAACCCCATTTTCCGATTTTGACAAACTAGGATTTTTGTGTTTTGTCCAGGCTTTGCTGCTTAAAACCGATTTTTCCAGCCGTAGCTGCCCATACAAAAGCTAGAAAAATAGGGAACTTGCTTTTGAAGGCGCTGAAGACCTCAGTTTCCTAGTTTGATAAACTAGGATCTTTCTGTTTGTCCAAGCTTTGCCGCCTAAAACCGATTTTTCCAGCCGTAGCTGCCCATACAAAAGCTGGAAAAATAGACAACTTGCTTTTGAACGCGCTGACAACCTCATTTTCCTATTTTGACAAACTAGGATCTTTCTGTTTGTCCAAGCTTTGCCGCCTAAAACCGATTTTTTCAAGCCGTAGCTGCCCATACAAAAGCTAGAAAAATAGGGAACTTGCTTTTGAAGGCGCTGAAGACCTCATTTTCCTATTTTGACAAACTAGGATCTTTCTGTTTGTCCAAGCTTCGCCGCCTAAAACCAATTTTTCCAGCCGTAACGGCCCATACAAAAGCTGGAAAAATAGGGAACTTGCTTTTGAACGCGCTGACAACCTCATTTTCCTATTCTGACAAACTAGGATCTTCCTGTTTGTCCAAGCTTTGCCGCCTAAAACCGATTTTTCCAGCCGCAACTGCCCATACAAAAGCTGGAAAAAATAGGCAACTTGCTTTTGAACGTGCTTGTGAAAACATCAAGTATGCGTGAGGTACTTGGCATTCCTAAGTATCAAAAACTTCCCGTTTCTGTTCGAGTTGGCCGTCTTCCCCAAAAACCGCCGGAACTCACAAATGCCCGGCTTTGGCGCCGGGAGGCTTGAAACGCACAGGGGCTCGAACCCGCCCTGGTCCGGAACCGCCCCCGGTGCCCACAAACACGCTCGCACAGCCTGTTTGACAATTTTTCCTTTAATTTGAGGCCCGCAAACCTAGCATTCATCAAAAAACAACTCCCAAAGCTTTCAAAAAACGCGTTTTCCTACTTTGACAAACCAGGATCTTTGTGTTTTGACCGGGCTTTGCCGCGTAAAACCGATTTTTCCAGCCGTATAACTGCCCATACAGAAACTGGAAAAATACGCAACTTGCTTTTGAACGCGCTGAAAACCTCATTTTCCTATTTTGATAAACTAGGATCTTTCTGTTTGTCCAGGCTTTGCCGCCTAAAACCGATTTTTCCAGCCGTAGCTGCCCATACAAAAGCTGGAAAAATAGGGAACTTGCTGCTGAACGCGCTGAAGACCTCAGTTTCCCTTGTATGGTGATGAGCTTATTTCTGAGGCTAGGTCGTTATTTCGGGGTGATGTCGGTGACGTCGTTTTAAATTGTCCAGATAAATTCTTGATATATTTGGATCAATCATGATAAATCACACCATCTACTTCAAGTGATTCACAAAGCAGAACCAGGGTAACCAGGGTCATTTTATGTTTTTTTTCTATTCGCTGCTCCGGGGCCCCCGAGAAATGAGGTCATCCAAAGACAGCAAGCGACACAGTGCGGTCCACTCGATTCCTTGGGTCGAAGAAAGCGACAGCACCGGTAGGGGACATGGGGAAGGGAAGTTTGGAATAGGTGTATATCACCCCCCAACAAAAAATATAAAAGTAAAGTCCCACTAAAGTAGTGATGACATACTTTTCTATCTTTTGGGGCGTTTATATGAATCAACCAATCTAACAAGTTCTCAAACATGGGAAGCCTGCTGCTTTCACCGTTTTTGTGTAGCCTGATGTGGTTCCATTCCGCCCACAAAATGGACAGTAAAATCCCAAACGAACAGCTGGTGAAATCCCGATGTTTGCTGATACAAATACCCACCATCTAGGCACAAGAAAAACAATTGCTAATTGTTGTGAGGGCCGGTGAGGTCGTCAAAGTGTTCCATGAAAACAATCCCGGTCCCATCCCATTATAATCTCATTAAAGGCGGCCGTTTATATTTAATCCTTTATGCTGCAACAAATTAAACATGTGTGTTTGTCTTTGTTGATTTTCTCTTTTGGTTCATTCATTGTGCTTGCTTGCGAATCAACCCCTCCGATACTGTCATTTTAACCTGGCAGTAATAAATTAGAGCTGCCCGTCCAGTATTCTCTCTCTTTCTCTCTATCGCGAGCCGGTGGAGTACTGCAATATACCATTTCTTATCATGTGCCTATTGGTTGAAATACCACGTCTCATCAACCAACCAATAAGGACATCTACTGCGATGGGGAAAAACTCGAAGTAGGCCCCTTAAGGCTCCCCATGTTCCAAATGTGGATGCCCAAAGCTCCGAAGCGCTCCCTCTCCACTGAACAGATCTGAGTAGGTGTACGAAATCATCATTCTTTTCGAATGGCTTGTTATTAACTTCCCCATGATTTCATAGCTAAATCATGCTATATAATGGTCACCATGATCCTATATATTATATAATTCCCCATTCTTCGGGTTGAACTCGCCATCGATGCGCTTCCAAGGTTCCCTTCCTCGTCGTCCTCCGCCGCATGCTTCTCCGCTTCATCCTGGCAACCAGCAAAGAATGGTCATAACTTATTCCTGGATTTACTGAGGAATACGATTATACCCCATTTATAGAATGTATAATCCCATAGAAATAACCAATTATAACTCATAAATGGCCATAAGTGTGGTTAATGGATGGTTATTCCCCCAGAATATGGAGGTTTCCTAAAATGGTGGTACCCTAAATCATCCATTTTAGATTGGGATTTTCCATGATAAAACATCCATTTTGGGAGTATCCCCATTTATGGAAACCTCCTCTTAAGGAACCCCCCCAAAAAAACTACTCTATTAATACGCCTGTATTCTAAAAATCGATTCCCCATTCCTAGCGGATTTCCCGGAACATAAGCCCAATCATCTTTAGCAAATCAAGGAATTGGAAGATGATGGGATCTTCCGGCCTTCTGTTGGGACCAAACATGCTGCATTGATGGATTAGCGGCTGGTGCTACCAATGGACCAAAGCCTGAAAAACTGGCTGGTGCGTTCAATATTGATTTTTTTTCTGTGAAAACTGTCAGGAAAATTTGAGAATCGTCCTAAGTCGGGATGGAGCAAAGACAAACAACTTCAACTGACAACTAAAGGTTGGTCAACAAACAGACAGAAGATATGTATATATACATCATGAGGAGTTGAGACCGCGCAAATAATGCCAGCCCGCAGCTAGCCGTGGACTACATATATGCTCGTAATTACATCCAATGAATAATGCACCATAGAGTTCATCGCGTGTAATATATGTCAAAATAGAATCGCCCGTTTCAAACACACACACACACATACACATACACACACAAACTTCCAAAATGTTGGTCTGAAAATGTGTGTATACCCCTAAATCCAGTGGTTAATCATCATTATCCTCACTTACATGGCCACTTGGAGTTTTACCCCATTTTCAAACACACCCACCAACGCGCAAAGAGGGCCTTGAGCAATTGCCTCGCATCCTGAACGTGCAGCTAGATCCTTCTTCTGGTTGGCTCATAATGGGCCCAATGGTTCCAGTAATCTGGATAGGTTTTGAAACTTACAAGAGTTCACAAACTTGAAATGTCTGTAAAGCTCATAGTTAGTCATAGTTGTCATAGTTACACCTACCAAATGCTGATTATCATCATTTCAGTGAGGTGACAGTGAGGCTTATAATTCACACAGAAGAATGGATTGTCAGAGTCAGCCCCATTCAACTGATAGCAGCTATCAGCACGCTAGGGTTTTAAAGCTGAAATCGTCTGCATGGTTTAAGGTGAGACAAACTAAGTCACACCAGTTCCCTCTGGTAATTTAAGATAACTATGGAACAGTTACACATATTTAATTACATACAGTACTAAAAATGGTGATCTACCACAACTATGTTAAATCACCAGAGGTTAACAATTCTGGTGATCATAAATCCGCATTGCCTCCTGGTATATAAGAACACCCAGTTGTGAACCACTTGACAAACATATGTTGAATGATGCTTCAAGTAGCAACTGCGTGAAAGCATCACTTTGGGTCACTTGGGAACCATTTTAGTCGATTACATCACTTCTATAATCGTCCCAAAAGTATGATATCCCCAAACTATATCCCAAACATTCAGGAAGAAACATTTCCCATATCCCGTTTTATACATCACAGAAATATCATCTTATATTATATCATCTTATAATTATAGATTGACGATAGGTATACTTTGCTATCATCCATATCAAGCCCAATGGAGTTCGTTGCCACGTGGCATGCTTCAGCCACTCCTCTCTGCAGTCCTGCGCGCAGCTGCGTGCAAAAAAGGCCCCGTTTGTTGGGTGCCAAAATGATCGTGAAGGTGGCGAGAAGGTAAACTTTTTGTCCAATAACTGTGGTTTTAATGCAGATTTCAGCGGATTTATAGCTGACTTATGTTATAGCTAGGTTGGTGAACATAGCAATTGTAACATGATGTAACTATGTGTTTCCTTCTTACATATACAGTTTCTATCGAACTAGTTTTTGGGGTTATAACTGTAACTGTGGGGCACCGCCTTGCAAGTTACGGCCATTGAAACTTGAGGATAAAATTTGGCACCACTTGATGACCTGGAGATAACAGACAGATTTGCAAAATCCGGGAGAGCGCCAGGTGATGCCTCCACAGTTGTGTTTATTGCTTATTATCCATCTGCATATTGTTGTCAAGCTATAATCATCATGAGCCGGAGATAAGCGAGTCATAAATCAAAGGCAGGGTAACTATGGGACGCTACCTTGCAGGACATAATCTTTTCCCCCATGAAATATAAGGTTAAACTCTGCAGATCTTCGCTCAACCATTGCCACCTGAATTGCGACATTGGGTTATGATTAAGGATTCACTTTTCTGAATTTCCGAACAGGGACATAAGGACAGGAAAAACAAACAGGGATTGTGCATCCTATCTGTATATACACGTACTTCTGGGATGATTGGTATTGGTGCGGTAGGTGTGGATAAAGCAAGTGTAGTCACACATGTACGTGACGGACAATGCATAATGCGCAAGAACAGTTCATGGACATCTTCAAGTGGAAATGCATCCGCAAAGCATGTTTTGTTGGAAAACATTTGTGAACCAATGTGAACCATATGGAAGTTGAAACGATCCTACCATCAGGCACCATTCCCTCGATGCTGTTGCCATCCAAGAAGCAGTATGCATCGCATATCTCTCCACATTGGTCCCTTGGAGGTTTTGAGGAAATCGTAGCTCAAACCAGCCATCAATCTCCTGAAACAAATCTGACGGTTTCAATGTCTCTGAGGGAAAAACAATGTCAATTTATCATCCCGGAAGGGAAATCCGAACGTTTGAAAACTTGGGCTGTCACAATGACATCAAAGCGACAAGGAGGCATGCACAAGCTGTGCAAAACACGGAAAATAAATGACCTGTGCGTAAATGGTGATATTGCTCCTGAGAAACATTAGCGAAATCACATTGAAACCTATTAGGGCTAGACCGCTATTTCTTTAACTCATGATATCAGTATACAAGTAGGGTTCCTCAAGCAAGTGGACAAGTAAACAGCATGCAATTTGTAACGGAGACCCTTCAAGTACCCATAACAACATGGTGTAGTTATATTTTACCATTTCAGGGGTTATTTGGAAAAGCCCAGAATCGAAAAGTTGGTACCTCGGATCTAGTTCGATGATTCTCCCCATGAAAATCGACATATTTTTAGTTCGGGGATTCTCCCCATGAACCATGTTTGATTGGCAAAAGGATCCGGAAGGTACTTTTTAGCGCTGGAACAAAAGCAACATCTGTCAAGTTCGATTGAATAAAATTTGATATCGCACATGCGAAAATTGTGTAACACATGATTCCCCCCAATGTTTTTTCAATCATAAGTGAATATTAGCGACATGTTCTCTGGAAATGAGTGTATATCCAAACACCCTAGGCCCTAGGACTTTAGACATCCCAACAACAATAATTCCAACCATGGCTCCCGTCGCCGCTCCCCCATTCACCACATCGGATAGATCAACCCTTCATACCATCGAAGCGTTCATCCCATCGAATTCTCCAATGATTATCCCAAGAATTCCCATAAGTTCCAACGATTCTTCCATTATCTGGTTGGTGGATGTTGGTGGAACCATATTGAAAAAAAATGAAAAATATGAGTTCGTCAATGGTTGGTGGATTATCCCATATATGAAATGGAAAATAAAAGCCATGTTTGAAACCACCAGATTATTCACCCATTATTCACCCATATTTTCCCATACTTTCTCCTGATCAAATGGGATGTCTTGAATGCAGAACTCCACGAAGCCCAGGGGATCGATATTGTCCAGGACACTTGCTGAATCCTCGGCCGAGCCGCTCCACGAATTGGTCATTTTTGCCCCTAAAAAGAGAGGAAAACGACCACTTTTTTTTTGCTGACTTCAGGATTGGATTTGACTAATATCATCTATATCTGTTTGATTCTTTTTCTGGGTGCAAAAAAACTTTAAAATCATTTCTTTTCCAATTGGCTGAAACTTTTTGACCACGACTGCAAGCCGTGACCGACAAACATTGCCGTCTTTCATGTGGTTGGGAAACTCCTAGTAGCTCATTGGCTCCAAATTCAATAGGGAGTATGGATACCCATAATTGAATTACCTCGCAAAGCGTGGTCATTGTCATATGCTTCTGGCCCGTGGTACATGTTCCGTTGAAACTGGTGTCCCTTAACACCAGCGCATCCAATGGCTAGAGGCCACCCTCATAATGGCGGTGCTTGGCCATTTGGGGTGGGTACAAGTGTCTTAGGGCATGTAGATGCATGCCTAAAACAACTCCCATAGATCCAAAGATCTCCCTCTAACCACTGGATAGATTTGAACATGTTCCTTTCTCTCCCGTCTCGCCACAGGGATCGCAAAGGTATTTAATTAACATTTAGCCAATACCCCGACATACCACAACACTATTGGCACATGCCAATAAAAACCAATATAAACCAATATACCCTCTAGTAATTTCACAGAGCTATTGAACATGATCATTTATAGTTGATTTACCCATTATAAATGTTGATTTTCTATAGCAAACTGTTAGTTCACCAGGCCGGGTAAACATTGGTTGGATTTCACATGATTTCACGGACTTCTGTGGTGTCAACGGCCTGGTCAGGGGAGAAACATCTTGGATGGTCATAACATGTCATAAACTGATCGGCATGGCATATACTCTGTCAAACACTGCAAGCTCAAGTATTACTAATAAAGTAAAGATACGACGAATAGCGCATGTATGATTATTTACTGATAACGTATAATAATGTATACTTTACCAGAGTGTGATTCTTTGCCGTATAGTTTGTTACTCATACCTCATAACTGTAAAGAATCACACTCTGGTAATCAAACCTAGCAGCGGAAAATATAGTCTCATGCCGGGCGGAAATAATCCACGCATGGGTAATTGTTAATTGTAAGGTAGCCACCAAATATGGAGCTCAAGTTTAGGAAACAAAACACAAGACCAAACCATTGCATAAAATATCAGGTGGCGAACACAAAAAAAATCATCCCCCATATCACCTGAAATGGGTGGTAGAATGGTAGAATTCTAACATATATAAGTATAAACCCCACAAAATTATAGATCTATCATATATTGTATTATAGGTTCATCATGCATTATAAACAATCCAAAATTATCAGCATATATAAACCCGACAAAATTACAGATACCCGCTGGTTATTTAAATAGCCATGGAAAATGGCCCATTTATAGATGCTTCAACTATTAAGAATGGTGATTTTCCATGGCTATGTTAGTTTACCGGAGGGTAAAATACCATGCCTGTTGAAAGACCAAAGCCCCCCTTTTTTGTCGGAAACCTGGGCATTTTTCATCATTTTTCGCCAAGTGTCCGTATCGTAGACCTGGACTCCAGGGACCGCTGGAGGTTTTGCGGGCGCCAATATGGGCTGCAACTTCCCCTAGATGGCCCAGGGGACTTAGCCATGATATAACGATATAACCATGATACAACCAACATGCCACAAAAACATCAGCAACAAACTTGGGATCATTCAATGAATGGATACTGGATAGTTCATATTGATATTGCCATTTCAAGTTGGCTAAGGGTGGGTATATTGTTCAGGTCTAGGACCTGCTCGTTGGCCGGATTTCCCAGGAAAAAAATGTCCATCCCGTCAATCAGAGGGATATATCAGGGGTTTGGCGCCTGGGTTCTTTCTCATTTGGGTCCTCAAAGGAAGGGTCCATCCGAGACAAATCCCTACAGTTGAGAAGGGGACATCGGAGTCAAGGGTCCGTCGCCATGATTCGAGTAATTATGATGCTCACCGGGGATTCAGACAGACCCTACCATTGAGAAGGGACGACGACCTGCATCCAAACCTTTGAATTGAGGAAACAAAACTACAGTATCTTATGATGTTATTTTGGATTGCACTTTGGACAGGCTACCATCATTTGAACCTACATGTTCCATGTTTTTTCTCGTCCGTGTTTCCCACTCATGAGTGGCATGATCGGCTCTGATGCTCCATCCTGGCCCCATTCCACCAGCTGACATTAGCCCCATGGATTTTTTTTCGCTTCTCAGAGGATTTGCCCTACCACTCAGTCTGCATCTTCTCGCTGGCAAGGTTATTACAGCCCATCGAGAAAGCATTCAAGCAGTAAGTGTGGTATAGACTCTCCAAGATTGGGGGCTCATTCTTTATGTTATCACATGTCAAGTGTCATTTTTAACCATTTTTAACCATTATTAACCATTATTAACTATGGAAAATCACTCTTCTAGTGGTTCCTAGCTGTTTACATAGTATCTTTCTTTACCGATTCAATCACCTTAGCAACGGCATCATGCCCCGGCTCCGGGTGTCCTGGATGTGCCAGAAATCCATCTGATTCTCATCGATTTCCCCATGGAAACTTGACCAATCTACCACCAAATTGCCGTTCAACATATCTTTGGGGGTATATTTGGGATATTTGGGTATATTGGGATATTTGGGTATATTTTTAAGTTTCAACATATACCCATTCTATACATTCTTTGGTATATTTGGGTATATTGAAACTGCCCAACCAAGGTGTACCCATATTTTGAGACAAACCCACGTTTGGTTTTTCACTGCGACCAGTGACGTGCACCCGAATAAAGGACAAGTCGGCCACAATATCGAAGGTCTGCGCATCTCTCCTTGGTGCGGGTGACCTTTGAAGTTGAACTGCACATCCACCAGGTTGCTGGAACTTCCCTCACGTTTCCCTCCGAAAAGAAATGAACAGCACCCTTCCGGTAATTTAAGAGTTTGATGTGGACACCCATTTGTAGATGATTTGCCAGGTCAATTTTCACTCGAGGGGTGGACAGCAAATCAGCAAGTATCTATGTATATATATATATACATATGCACAACTTATGCACACATATACCGTACACAAGCATAATAAACATGTAAAAACTCCAAACATTCCACCATTTTCCACCCCATTTTCCCATGAAACTCACCATGGAACCCCCTGGGACCCTGCGACTTCCGGGAGGCCAAGTGGCCACTGAGGTCTGCGGCTATTGCGAATGATCTTGGATGAGTACCTTGGGACACTGGCGGTGGCGGATATGGACATGTGATGACATGTGCATCAAAAGGAAATGGAGGTATCCACAACTCAGCACAAACACATGGGGAATTTGCTATTCACAATTTACATCAAACAAAATGAAGATCAACCCTCACCATAGGAGGTGACATCTTGGAACTTGGAAGGCGGAGCCGGCAGAGGAAATTTGCCGTTTTGGGGGTGCTGCTGGGTTGATTGTCACCTGTTCATGGGGCTTGGATCTCCTAGATTCAATCATTACATCCTGAATACTGTATATCTGGTATTTCCATTTATTTCCGTGATATCCGGATCATAATCAATGAATCATAGATTCCAAAGAATATACAATCGCCACCATCATCAGCCCCCTATCCCCATTGGATCCCCATTCCTCCCAATGAAATCAACATCATCATTATATATATACACATAATTATACCGTATATACATGATATAACCCATCATTTCCTATCTCTTATCCGCATCATACCCACATACAAGTGGCATCATAGTCATTATCATCAATAGTCCAAATAGTACCACTAAAGAAACAACAAATCACCACCACCACCACCACCACCATCATCATCATCATCATCATCATTGAATCATCAACCTTTACTGGGCAGTCGCTTTTCCAGCCGAGTTACTGAAGGCAGTCGTCAATGTAGACCCGTACGAAGGCATCAGGCTCGTCGCCGATGTGCGCCCTCGGCCCGGGGCGCTGCCTGAATCAAAACCATGTGGATCCTGCGGCTTGTACAGCCTGAATGCTGCAACCTATTTGGCATTGGCAAATTCCTTGAACCAGAAAAAAAGAGAAACACTCTCCGCAAGTTGGTTATAGTGTGTTTTATTTTTGGTGTGTTTTTCCCCATGTATCGCAACAAATTTTCTCATAGCCATCAAAGCCTATACCAATCAAAGGTTGGCCCACACTTGGCGAGGCCAATGGCCCATGGGAATATTAAACTGACTGCAGTGAGCCCATGCTGTAAAGTGACTGATTGAATGCATTCAAATTATATATTGTTTTTGTTTGACTATATTTGGATGGTGATTTCTAGCCTTCTCAGAAACGCTCAATTACGCTTTAGCGTGCCACTCCTCACCCTGGTTATGACCCAGCTGCCATTGTCGACTTAATGATGTTCTCCCCTGGTAGTCATATGAATCAATAAATTGCATCGAGGTTTCAGCCGAAAGGAAACACATAATTGAACTCAGCCCCCACCGGATGGTGCCCCCCACTTATAAGTTGGTTTATAAACCCCATTAACTATAGCTATGTTTATAGAGATTTATAGTTATTTCTAGCTATCTTTGGGGCCCCATCCTGCTATTCAGCTCCCTATTTCCTGGTGATCCACCATGGATCAACGACTCCTGTCGCCGAGCATCTCCAGGACTCCCGAGACACTCGGGATGAGACGCCGGGCTTCGATGAGCTCCAGATCCAGGTGGGCGAAGGGACCCAAGGTATAGTACCTCCATGGGAGGTAACCCAGGTGGGGGAGAAGAACCAGCAACAAATGTGGATTTAAGCAGTTTAAGCAGCACACAAACGAGGATTTCAGCAATGTGGATTTAAGAATTCGGATTTGATCAACACGAACTGGGATTGAACCTTTTGAATCGGGCATGTCCCTGAAATTTGGTGGAATTATGGATTTAATCAAGCAAAATGGAGACTGCACCAATCCAAAATTGATTGCTTTAAGGTGTTGTTTTTGCTGTGGGAACTATGTTGTTTAGCCCAGTTTTCCTGCATCGTTTCCCTTGATTCAATTCTGGGAGCCAACCAAACCACTGGTGGTTTCAGCAAGTTAGATTTGCACATGCAAGGTAATAATCACAAGTAATCAAACATATGACATGGGGATCTAATTTAAGCAGCAAGATGTTTATGGATCAAACATGATCAGGCATGATCAAACCCTGGTACCCTGGTGAAAAAAATCTGCGAATAGATGTTCATCCCTATTATATAGTGCGCCCATCGATCGGTGTCAAACCATAGTGGGGATGTAACCAGCGAACATTGAGATGTAACCAAAACATGTTGGAGTCGCATCCACAAGTGTCATAAACCAATTACCGAAAAAAAAACAGTTGAGAGTTGATGATGTTCATGGGGCCAAAACTTTGAACGGTTTCCCATATGCAGTGTCGCATATTTTTTCTAGACAGTCAACTTTGTTAAGTGGTACGAACTTACCACACACTCACGATTCACCACCAAGGTTCAGCTACCTTGGAAACCACCAAATCAAATGTTTATGGTCAACTGATTACTTTAGCGGAAAACTTGCAGGAAACGCCAGGAAACCACATTTCTTCGCCCCCTCAGCAAAGAATTGTCCATTGATTTTGTGGAACATGGAACCAAAATGCATGCAAAGCTGAGAGCTTTCATGGATATTGACGGTACTTACTGGTATAATTCTTGTATACGGGGGAAATAGGGGTACCCCCAAATCATCCATTTTAGATTGGGATTTTCCAGAAAATAGCTATTGGGGTACCCCCCATTTCAGGAAACTCCCGTATTATCGTTCCAGACCCCTTCCTCTCTCCGGGGTACGCTCTGTCGGGCGTTTCCAGGCAACGCCAGCGGTTGAGCTCGAAGTCTTCACCGTCGGTGATCTTATCCTTGTCCGAAAGCGGCCGCGGCGGAAGTGGATTGGTTTAAGGGAAAATCACAGGAAACCATGGGTTTTTACCATCAAAAAAAAGGGGGTTCCGGTGAACAAATTGTCCCATCAATTCTGTGAGATATGAGATTTCACCAGGAAACATGGGGATTTAGCATGATTCAACCAGTGACTAGCTTGGATTTAACCAACAAACATATGGGTAAGGCAACTACTAAAATGTAATGATATTAAGGGGATGTAACGGGATATAACCGCCACCAACATTATTTTAGATGTCCCTGAGCATTTGGGTATATACAGGTATAAGCATATTATGAGACATGCTATTTTCAGACAATCCCACGTCTGGCAACCGTGAATTGTGGCATATCACTTGGGGAGTCTCGTTCAAATTCCTTACTGTATGCATTTTAGGTATCATGTTCAATTGTACATGTTCATGTTTGATAATAACATAACATGTATGTATAAATATATATATATACATACATATTATATTTATTTGTGTGTGTGATCCATTGAGCATACCCATGTTGAACAACAATGATCACCAATGAACATGGGTATATATGATATCACTTTGAAACAGTTTTCCTATATAATAACCACGGGAATAAAAGTGTTGTCCAAGAATGTCGGGAAAACAACCGGAAACATACTTGGGACAAATTAGATGGGGATGGCAAATGTATATGGACTGGAAGGCATATGTGTATCTAAATGAATCAATATGGATTCATTCCAATGAATTTAAATGCTTATCTTCAATCTGAAACACAAGTTGTCTCTTTTGAGTGGTGAACTGGTTGTGGTTGGTGGTTTGAGGGATGAACCCCCTTTTTCGTCATGGCTCTTTTCATGGCACCCAAGGGTTGGTTAGAGCAAGGGGCCCCAACTGGAACCCATTTTTGAGGCCAACCATGGAATGTAACAATGCCACAAGTCACGGCCACGCTTGCTAAGGCTACATACACTATGCTACAGCCTCTGGCACTCTAACAGTTTGCTATTGAAAATGGCTCTTTATAGTTGATTTACGCATTAAAAGTTGTGATTTTTCCATAGCAACGTTAGTTTACCAGAGGGTAGCCAAGGGTCAATGATCTTCTGCACACGCTGATTGCCAGAGGTTGCTTTCACCTTCTGAGACGCCTGGCGGATGCCGCTTCGCTTCGACTGTGGCAGGCTTTACTTTACGGAAACGCGGAGTTAAACGTGAAATCATAGCAGCGGATAGTAAACCATAAAATGAAAAAGGACATGTGTGGATTTGACAATATAAACCATAATAAGGGAACATAGTGTAACAATAACCGCCAACAAAAACTCAATATATATATATATAATTAAATATATATCTGAGCATCCGCAACCTGCCATCCATCCCCATCTTACGGCCCGGGGTCACCCGCACGAGCACTGACTTCCTCTTTTTGCGACTGACCTGCGTGGTGGAGGACTTGTGGATTTTTTCATCTGACGAAGATGTTGTTGTTTACCCACCACATTCAGACATTCAGAATACAAATATAGTTATTTTAATATAGTGTTCCATGTTTGTTCCATATATGTTTACAGTATACGTTCCATGTATGTTCCATGCTCAAGTCAACAGTCACCAAGTCTTTGGGAAGACATGGATTTTCTGTTCTCAAGAGACGGTCAAACCTTGGTGGCCCAGCCTCCAGATCAGGAACCAGCAACTCAGCCTGTCCCATCTGTCCACAGAACTGGAACCACAACAGATTGGCACAACATCCTGGAATTGCTGTGACAAAAGGGCATGGTTTCGCCCATCCACTATAGGATCATCATTCTAACTAAAGATAAGATGAAACCACCAACTCTTTGGAATTTGCGCAGGGGACGTTAAACATCTACACCTGTCTGGGAACAAACAATGTTTTCCCATCTGAATATCATGTAATTGCTAAATCGCTTTGACAAATGGAGTGACATACCCACTTCAATCAACATCAATTGGACATGTTTAACTGATTGATGCTTGTGACACCAATCCACTGAATTTGTTTGTGGTTGAATGAGGAAGCACTGCAGCAATGGTTGGCCTCAATACTCAATCCCAAATATCTTAACCCCTACCCCAATGGATAGCAGCAGTCACCACTGCTCTCCATGATTTTTGGCGCCTCAGAGCCACTTCCAGAATTTCTCCTTCGCGACGCGGCGACGCGACCATGGCCGCAACACATAGCGGCATAGCTGGTTGGTGGTTGAACCACCAACCCCTCTGAAAAAAAAAATGAATCAGTTGGGATGATGACATTCCCAATATCATGGGGAAAAAACATGTTCGAAAACCACCAATCAGATAGGTACTGGCAACAAAAGTGGGGCACGAAAAAACGGTCATTCATGAAACGCATGAAGTGTGTCATACGTTCAAATCACTCAGCCACAGTGTGGGATCACCTGCAACCTCGAACTGACAGTTTGGTTTAAAAATATTTAGGCCTCCAACGTACAACATGTGTACAGTTATTAAATAATATTACACATAGAAACACTTCACATCACACTCAACAACATCATCTGGTTGGGAAACTCTGATTGTAGCTCCAACTGGCTCCCTCCATTCATTTGGATCCTCAGTCAATTCAGGAACGGACCCCTATCCGAAATCTCCTTGGAATGATCTGGCTTACCTGCAGGTCTCATGGCACTGGCCCCAACTTCTGCGGTGTTTTTTGCTCTCTTAGAATGGGGGATAGAAGGTGAAATAGATATTCACCATCATTCACCATTGGATTTTGAATAGGTAAACCATCTGTAAATTGCAATTTTCCCATCACTATCTTAAGTTACTAGAGGGTAAACCGCGGATGTGCGTTTGCATTGACATTACACTCAATCCAAACATGTGCTTGTTGGTGCTATTTTATTGATTGTTGAACATTGTGATCAACCTTGAACATTTTGTGGATTCCTAATGTTAGGGCAAACCTCATAAAAATCTTGGGAAACTGAAGGGTCAGATTCTCTAAACGAGGCAGGCCTTGTCATCGTAACGACAATAAATTTTACATTGTAAATGGCTACAGGGTCCCAATGTCAGACCCCAGCACTTTGGTCATTTTCTGTACGGACCAGCTCTTGGTAGACAACGATGTGGAACTACGCCCCAACTCAGGTGACCTGCCTTTGGAACATGAGGATCTCTCCTTCACTGTGTATCGACTGTCCATGTACCAAAGCATATCACAACAAGATGCAAACGATCAAACGTAAGATCCGACATTAAATACTATCCATTTTGGGGAGTGGGTGCCTTTGGGAGTATTCTCTCTCTCTATATTTATATATATATTGAACCATCATTTTACAAATCAACCACTTGGTTTCATATCCAGCATATCCGCATCAGGCCTGGACCCCCCACCCTCAGCCGGGACACTCTGCAGCCCATTGGAACGTCACATGTCGCTCTACAGCTTTGGTAGGTGACAACGGTCCCAAGCTGCAAATAGGGTTCATCAGGTGGATAGCAAAGTACTTCACAACATCCTGGTGTATCTTGGGCTAAATGTGTGCAACTATTGTTTATCCTTGCCAATATTCATGCATATATATCCTGCATATCTGCATATCTAAGATGGATAAAAGAACTCCTGCGGAACTTGGCACTGACAGGCCACGCAGCCACTTTTTAACAAGGTAATGATTCACCTTAGAATGCCGCAGAAAATTAATTTTCAATGCGCATCATTGTAGCAAATGTGCGAAAATAATTTGGGCTTGTTGGTTTGTCTAAGAGTCTAAAAATAGACTACCTCGAATTCAGTGGGTTTGAAAAACACAATCTTCCTGTTGAGGCGCCACTCTGTTGGGAGGACATACCACATGTTCAAACACATCCATCTTGAAAACGGATATCGGAACTGCTGAATTGCTTCGCCTCATATCATCATCTCAGAATGCCAGCTTGAGGCTTCAACGCGGGGTAGGATCCACTCAAAAGCGCTTAT